TTGCTCACGGAGCTGACGTTCGACAGAATCTGTGAGATGGATAAGAGAGTGGACAAGATTGAGATATTCAATTGCCATAATCTCTCGCTATTTGTTAACAATTGACCTCACTCTAGGTCTCTGGATCCTCAATAATCTCCTTGTGCTCACTAATTGACTTCTTTCATCCCAGCCAACTGCCGTACCGCCGAATGATCGGTATTACCCGGGTAAGTGCCGTAAGTTAGTGCCTAAGATATGCGGTTGCAAAGGTTGAAGTCGTTGTACAGACCAGGGGGATTAATGGAGCTTTAATCCATCAAGCTGTGGTTTTCGTTGTGGAGCCTTATTGGCACCAGCTACGCCATGGGGAAGAAGAAAACCTCAGACCTTACTTTTAACTCAAGAAGCCAAATAAAATTGTCAAAAGGCACCCTAAGTTGTTACTAAGTTACCTAAATCTTTTCGGTCAGTTAGGTTAAAGTCCTCGGTTATCTCCCCGCCCCTGGCTCAGCTACGGATCAACAAAGTGAATGACCCAACAAGCAACGCTGTTAGCTAACAACCGGGGCACGCTTGTTATCTTGTAAGCCTTGCGCTGGAGGTCTCCAATCTATCAGGTCTCGAGGCCTTGTTGCTTGTGATTTTCCACCTTAGCTGCTTTGTGTTGACGGAAGTCACATGTGCCCCAAGATATCAGATGCCGTTAATCTGGGGTGCATCCACCACAGGAAAAATGACCCATGAAAGTTATGGATGTGATCTTCTTTCTATAGGGCTTTCCGAGTGTAAGAAGGATTTGTATGTCAAGTTCGAGCGTCCAATCATTAAAGACTATAGACGCCATAAGCTATTCTCAACCTACCTCAGCCATTTTGTCTCTTGAGAATCGAGGTCTTGTTTCTTACCACCAATGAACCATACCTTCGTAGGAATGTTTCCCCCCGCAACTGGGGAGGCATCGTGATCATGATCTCTTCTACGAAACAGAATTATCTTGGAATATGAGAACCAGTAGCTCCAGTTCGTTGCCTGTGCGTTGGCTGTGAGATGATGATAACCTGAAAAAGTTGACAGGGAACGACTGTGAAATCTTGGCGCACAGAGTTGACCATTTCACACCCATATTTGACAACCCATGACCATAGCCCATGCATCATACGCTGAGCATCGGAAGCATTGCGATATGTTCAAGTCACATACGAGCTGGCGGATTACTGAGGGTCAATTACGGATCGGTGGACATACAACATCACAAGCAATGACTCAAAATATAGTAGTCACACACAGGTTAGGAGCATTGGCATTACTCCAAAGACGAGAAATCATCGAGGATACAAGTGATGCACCAAAGTCCCCGAAGGACATGTTTAGAACGTCTCGCGTAGACGTAAACAGACGAGAGGCCAAGTAGACAAAGTACCAGTGATCTGACGATTGATGGCAATGTCACATTCATAGTGAATATCGGAAAGCCGGCAGAGCGCCGGTCGGTCTCTCAGGCCGTGGCTCGACTGAAAATTTCAAGTCAAGCTGATGCAGCAAAGGCAACAGAAAATACATGTCCCATGTGAGTTTTCCCCTTAATGTTCGCCGTGACCATCCGTAAATTCAAACAACCAATTTTTTCAACCGTTTATCGGACAATGCCGTCGAAGCGAGACTTGAACCACTTGACGGTCTCCTCGCGCTTGATGCGGTGGCTGGCACCGATGCGGGACTTGGTTCGGCGGCGGCGGGTGACGCGCTCACCAGGTCGGGTCATACAGCAGTAAAAGTCCATGCCGTAGATACCGATAGAGGGGTCGTACTTGATACCAAGATCGATGTGCTCGCTGATACCGAAGCCGAAGTTGCCAGTCTCGGAGAAGTTGCGCTTGCGGAGCTCGTACTCCTTGACCTTGAGACCACGCTCAAGAATCTCCTCGGCCTTTTGGATGTTAGCATCTCTACGCTTTGCCATTTCGAATATTCGTGTGCGGATTTACCTTTGGGCCTCGGACGGTAACGTGGACAGCAATCTTTTCGTTACGTCGGATACCGAAGGTTCGAACAGTGTAGCGAGCCTTGCCTTTGAAAATCTCAGTCAGATGGAATTGAATCGCCATGTTCAAAATTGGTAAACTTACTGTAGACGGGGGTCTGACCAGAAAGCTGCTCCAGCACCTTGGCGGCACGGGTAAGTCTGTCACCAGACTCTCCGACGGAGATGTTCAGAACGAGCTTCTGAATCTTCAGCTCCCGCATGGGGTTGTTTGCCTTCTCGGAAGCCATGGCTGCTGTTATTAGTCGACCTGGTGATGGAATTGTCGAAGATCGCGAAGGTTGCAAGAGTAATTTTTCAGTTTTTGTGAAGCTCATAATTATTTGAGGGTTAAGCTAGTCTTGCCCCAAGTGGGGCTAGCGCTAATCAGAAGTGGTCTAGTGTCAAAACGGTACTTTGTCGGTGTACCTTTCAGCCTTCCGCATCAGGCTCCGCAGATTTTGGACCTCATAACTCACCTTCAGAGCTCCAGGCATTGAAGGTTGTTACGATCGCGCGCAAATACACCGCGATCTAACATCAATTTTTGAAACACAGAGAAACTGCCCCAGCACGCTCTCAAAACACCGCCAAAATGTCGAACAAACAAGGAAAGATGGTTTGTCTGCCCCCCTACTCGTACGCGTTTTGAGCGTGCTTGATCTTGATATGCTAACCAGTTCTCTTTCCCAGGCCGGTTACGTACGTATACCCCGACACGCATGCGATTCGAATGCTACGTCTCTACGATTGTTCAATGAAGCTGACTAGAACGGAACAGATCAACTGGCGGATGCGGGTTACTCTTAACGATGGAAGGGCAATGACCGGTCAGATGCTTGCCTTCGACAAGGTACCATCTCCAGCCATTATTGTTAAGATCAAGGCTGACTAGGTATTAGCACATGAACCTTGTACTTGCGGATACGGAAGAGTTTCGACGTGTGAAGCGCAAACAAAACAAGCCATCTGCCCCTGGCGCAAGCGGTTCAGCTACCCAGACCATCGAGTCAGAGGAGAAGCGAACTCTTGGCCTCACGATCGTTCGAGGCGCTCATATTATCTCCCTCTCCGTGGAGTCGCCTCCTCCCGCCGATCCTAGTGCGCGACTAGGCAAGAGTGCTCCTGGTGGAATTCCTTCTGCCTTGGCCGCTGGCCCTGGTGTTGCTCGTCCTGCTGGACGAGGAGCTGCACCTCCCTCCCTCGCAGTATGTGTTTACTTCCCGCTAAATTTGCCTGATTGATTGCTAATAATGATAAGGGTCCTGCTGCTGGCGTTGGTGGTGCTCCCCCGCCTGGTTTCCCCGGTTTCCCCGGTGCTCCTGGGTTTCCCGGCCGCGGTGGTAAGTTCAAACAGTCCCGATATCCTCGAAGAATCTCTAACAGTCTCCAAGCCCCTCCTCCTGGCTTTCCTGGGAACTTTCCCCCTCCAGCTGGTTTCCCTGGAGGCGCTCAATTCCCTCCTCCCGGGTTCAACCCTGGTGGTCCCCCACCTCCTGGATTCCAGCCTCCTCCCCGAAGATAGGTTATGTAGGCACTGGTTACTTCGGGCAAATTTTAATAGCCTGTGAGGAGGCTTCGATATCGTAACTCAGACTGAGAATGTCTTGTCTGCTCGTCGAACCAAGACGTCGCGTTGGAATACATGTGAGGATTATGGGCTTGGCACAAAAATGTATGTGAATTTCTTCATGGCACTTTACCGTCCTCCATCAATGTTAACAAGCTTCCCAAGACGTTATACGGAGCACTTGAGGCGCATGATGGTGTATTGGGCTAGAAGTGATTTGTTGTTTTATAGGATAATAGGCCGCTCCAAGATTATGAGTTGGTGTTGTCGTCAAACCACCACAGTACATTTCGTGTCAACAGATTATGAACAAGCGTGAGCGGGGTGCCTTTCTGGTCTGTTCTGTGTCCCTGTCATTTGTTTGCCCACGCTTAGTTCTTCATGTACTCAAAAGAGATATGAACTACTTAACTGTGCTGGTCTGTGAATGCTGTGAAGGTGGTAATCAAGTCCAGAATTTCGCAAGGGTGGTAATTACAAACTGTTATCCGACCGAGCACCGCTTCGTCTAACAGACAGGTCGAGAGCCATCTCATTGCGGACAATGCCATTTGCAACCACTCAGCCTAGAACGAGTGAAAACCCACCATCCCCTCCAGAGGACAACTCATAGTCGATGGTCAAGAAGATGCCAAGCTTTCCTTACAGTAAGTCTGAATGAGCATGGCAACATGAACATCAAGTTACTAAAAAGGTCTAAGGATCTTAACTTCTTAATACTCTCCTGACCCTTGGAGTTAGTTCGCCGTTTAATGATAAATGTTGGATATTTTCCGAATCGCATCCATATTCTAGCACCACTTCCGCAAATGAAACCAAGAAACTGGCAATTTGATCACGATTTTCTGAATAACTCGTCTTTTCATCTCATTAGCTTAGTCTATGGGTTTTAAATCGTGCCGGCACATGGCATCGGGTCAGTCAGAAAAAAGCCTCACGACGCTTACACTTCAAACTTCTATGCTCTCAGGATCCATCATTAGCCCAGAGGTAGGCGGAGAACTGGGCAAATGGGTAGAATTGTTCTAATTAAACAAACCGTGCGTCGTTAAAAGGGATCAAACAGCTGGAAATATGGTTAGCCCTGATTATCCATCATTTCTCTGGTTGTCATCGTCATACAGCGGGATCGAGTTACTGACCATGAAGCAAATTCTGGATGTTATAAGCCACATGATAAGATATAGGTTCGTGTTCGTTCAAATCCGAAACCCGATAAGATTTAGCATTTGCGAGATATGATGTGAGTCTCTCTGGAACGATATAGGTCCGCGCAGTGAATCTTTGTCGTCATTGCTATACGTGTATTCCTGAGGAACTAAGGGACCAACTTCCATCAAACTCATTATAATCGTATGCTTGCCGATACTGACCCAACTCCGAGAGCGCCCAATAAACCCAGCCTTGATCCATTCCAAATTCTCGACTTTAAATACCAACAGCATGACTGAAGACCTTGGCCGCCAACTGACTGAGCAGCCTTGACTTGTCGTCCTGGGGAAGCTCCTGAAAGACAGCGTAGACACTCTTACCCTTCGCATCGCGGACGGCACCTAGTCTGTTCCCTGCAACGGCTCCTGCTACAAGACCTGGCACATTGGCAACGATGAACCCTAGAGCGCCGCCGCTAACACCACCCACCATACTCCAGAACTTGCCCGTGGGGTGGTTATCCCTGCCCTCGGCCATGCCCTCCTCGCGCATCATCTCCTCGAACACATCACTAAACTGCGCATCTTCGGTTTGCTCACGATCCTGAGCAGGGGCTTGGCCTTGGTTGGTAAAGAAGTTCCATGCCCAGGAATAAGGGCTCTGTCGCGGTGCGGCGCCACCCTCAGTTTCCGTCTCAGGGATGTCCTCGAAGGGATCTGATGGGGTGCTGGTGTTGAAGAGTTTGCGCTGAGCATCATACTCGCGACGGCGTACAGGGTCAGACAGTGTGTAATAGGCGTCGTTGACGAGCTGGAACTTTCGTGTCCGTTCGGCTCGCTCTGGGGAGTCATTAGAGACGCGGTCAGGGTGCGTCTTTAGGGCAGCACTGATTACCGGGGTTAGTTGAGTCGCGAGTCAAGACTACAAAGCAAAAGCGACATACCGCTTGTAGGCATCTCGGATTTGCTGAGTGGTCGCAGTATCAGAGACCTCGAGAATGGCATCTGCATTTCTAGTCAGTTTTCACTCTGGCGCTTTCACATGGCTGTAGTGGGGTCATGATGGCAGCTTACAGTAGTTCGGGGGCACTCCAGCAGTCATGATGAGTTCATGTAATACAATGGTCTTTACAAAAGACAATAAAATTCAAGTCGATTCTAAGGAGCGAAAGGTCTACAATTTTCCTCGCGAGGATATGCCAAGTCGCAGGTGGGTATGTAATGCGAGTGTTGTTGAACCAAGGCCAGCGACGACTATCCCAGGGCGGAAGTGTCAACGTCATTGTGGCGGTGCCTGCGTCAATGTGGCGATCCAATCAAATCAACTTCTTCAACTTCAATTCGCTTTCATGGAGCGTTGGGTATCTCAAACTAGAACTCCAACCAGTGTCTTCTCAAAGGAAGATATCAAATACTCCTAATCATCGTTGTGCTTTTCTTTCGTGACAACCCAGAAACTCTACTCGCTGAGTAACTGCTGTGGAAATTACTCATGAATGAATCATATGCCAATCCTCGACACCACCCGTATCTTATGCCATGACGCCCAAAACCTAATAGCTTTGTTCCGAACCACCCCATTTTATTCGCATAACTCCTGTACCATTGATGATCATGATTATTCGACATCCTGCTCCAAGTATCTCTGTGCTCTCGATAACGCATCAGCTGTGATCTCGTTGGCGTCTGCTTGTCGACCAGCTTTCTGATAATGCGCTGCCAGCACCCACATATCACGGATGACTCGTAGGTTGTTGTTCGCACCGTGTGCTACCTCTCTTTTCGAAATTGCATGCCGTAGGTTCTGTTCGGCCGTGTCCCATTCCTGCCTTGATTCTTGTACTCGAGCCAACATCTTGCATGCGTATGCGTGAAATCGATCGTTCGATCTGGGTCCTTGTTCGGTTCTGGTAAGATCGAGTAAATTGATGGCTAGCTCCTCAGCCTTCTTCTTGTCACCAACATCCATCTGTGTGAATTCGAGTCGCAATGCTTCGACTCGTAACCGATCTGCATCGATTGCAGATGAAGTCTGACTCTGTGCCTCAGCCATCCTTTCCAGGGCCTGATACATCGCATCTTGCCGCTTGCCAAGTTCGCTTTCCCTACGGAGGCGTGTTCTCCCATCCCAAATTAGTTGTTCGTAAAGCCAGAGTCGATGGGCATCCGATGTCTCGATATGTTGGCCCAAGAGATTAACATTCCGTAGCCAGGCTTGGCGCAACAAATGACACAAGTATTTCCTTCCCTCATCTGATTGATAATCGCAGTTACGAAGCTGCTGGAGAATAAGGAGGAGCGGGTGTTGAGCAGGCAGCTGTCGTTTCGCGAGTATTGTAGCATGATCCAAGAAAAGGGCCAGAAGCCGAAGATGTCCTCGGTCCACCATATCGTATATTGTATCTAGCACATGCCAGATAAGGTCGGGGTGATCATCGCTCAACACAAATTCGAGCACGTAAAACCCTCGGCGTGCAGCCATACCAGCAAGGTCACCCTTTCCGTGGAACCAAAGGTCGAAAACAAGCTCGAAAATGCGGTACATTGTACGACTGTCTCGGATAGGGGGGGAGTTTGGGGTTGCTAGGTATTCCGACATAGGATCTGACATGACAGGAAAGATTTCTAATTTGGATTGACTCCAATTGAAGACGCCACCGAGAACCTGTTCCAAATCAGAGTAGGGACCAGTGTTTGATGGCTGTATCAGAGCCATAGACGTAGTTGGATCATCTTGGTGTTCCTCTGGAGAGGCCGAGGATGAGGATGAGCTTTGTTCGTCAAACGTACTCGTCCCAGAACATTCAGTAGTATCCATAGGAGTGGAAGCTGCAGAGCCAGGTTGACCTTTCCGATATGTACGTTTTCTTAAGCCCCATTTCTTTAAACGCTTCTTGAACATCTGCTCCCTTTGAAAGACGAATCAGTTTTTGGACCTTGCTGCTACCACATGCGTGGATCTCACTCACGTTGCTGCGAAACCATATCTGGCCTGAAGGATTGCCATAGTCTCGTTCAGCTTTCGGTTTTCCTGAATATATAGCTTCCTGATGACGTTGCGCATACTCTCCCACTCCTCCTCTGTGTGCTCCTTCGTGTAGGTCCTGTCATCTACCACCGGCGGACAGCCCGGAAGCCGGGGGGCCAAGACTGGCAGAAGAGATGACATGATATCCTATCATGAAGGGGGATATGATACAACAGAGGAGAACCAGGGGTGTCAGCAAGCCCAGTGGGAGTTGCTCAGCTTGCACGGCAACAGTGACGGTAGTATCGACAATAGTGGTGGTAATAGAAAGCACAACAACCTCCGCATAGAGCCTCACGGTAATGTATCGGCAACGGCATGCCGGACCGTTGACTGTGCATGGCGAACGGGAACTCAGCTTGTCAAAAGCGCCTCCTCCGTGGTCTTTAGTCTTTGATGCCCGGCATATGAACCCGTTAAGAAGGGTTCGGCGCCGGTTCAACCTGATTGGATGACTTAGTTCCCTGCATATTGGACATGGCCTAGGCTGGTTCCGGCTATGGTCGGGAGTCTATTTTGCGTGTTTTTGGTCTCGAATACAGTGGATTTTCTGCTTGTTCCTGGTGCGAGCTGCAGAAATGGTGTCAAAGTTGACAGCCTCACCAGCGATCATGTTAAATCCGCCCAGCCTCCTTTTCCTTTTGAGGAGAATATGTAACATGTATATTTCCTGACACGTAGAGACCCACAGAACCTGCCCAAGCATTTGCAACAGCGCAGGTTTCCCAGCTATTGTTGTGCGAATGACAATGGTGATGACCTCATTAGTATACGCCCCGAACGATGTCGGGCCGCCGCGATATTGGCTATTGCTGCCAATGCAACCGTGCTCAAGCCACTGTAGACGATACCACGGTCATTCTGCATGTTTGGTGTCAAACCAAGCTCGTTACTATTTGATAGTGGCGTATTAGGCGAATCGAATTCCGGAGACGTGTGGTTGTCGTGGTTATTCGTGTATGTACTGTAAAGAAACCTGCATCTCTGAGATGAGCCTAGTGAAGTTGGTGAAGAGACGTCATTGTTTAAGTGGTCAACTGAAGCTACTACTGCACGTTTTGATGAGCTTAAATCCACTTCTTCGATGATAGATATCGATAAGTCCGAGCGCACCGTAAATTTAATCCAATTGAAGTCAAGCGCTTCAGCAGGGGGTGAGTCCCAGCTCGGTGATCCTACCGAAAGCCAATGCCAGCTAGCTTTGTTGGCCATTGAAGTTTGCTATTGTGCTCCAAGGGTCCTCTTCTGGAAAACATCGAGGGATCGAGTTTCTACCAGAGTTCTTTGGGTGTTCGCCATGCATTTAATGCCTCAGAAGTGGGAGCAGAAGTTGTTCCATTTTGTAGAGTTAATGGCAGCATGTTTCATGCATGGAACCCCTACTATGGTTCCAGCAGCGCCTTGCGCCTTAACTCTTATTGGCAATTCATGAAGCAATCCATGCAAAAAAGATAGTGCATTCGTAGCTTGGCCAATCATGTCTGCCTCGAACTCCCGATCAGGATGTGGGAGAACATCTACCGAAGGGTATGTAACGAGACAAACTTGTTTTGTATGTCCTCTCAAAACTTCCACAATAGGGACAGCCCCTTCTCGAAAACGCCATACACTCAGACAATTCCCATAGTTGAACCACTAGTCTGTGCATCTGTATGCCGGGCGCCACCACCAACCACTACCGAATACCAAGCTTTTCGCTCGGAACTTGCCAGAGGCTCTTTAACTCATGGCAGCCTTGACGCCAATGCAGGGCGCGCGTACTGGGACCACAACAGGTTAGGGATGCCTCACATCACTGCAGAGCCAGGCCGAGAACGTGTCAGTGGGTGCGGGTATCTGCCGCGATTAGTCGAGTGTTGTTCCGCACACACACAAATCGAAGCAACCAAGATGGCAGTGCTTGAGATAGTGTCAACACAACGACTGCTCCCTTGAATCCAGACTCAAATAGCCCAAATGATCGGCATTTAACGTCGTTACAACGGGCGCAACTCCAACGCTCGAGTCGTAAGATCCTGGTGATGATCCTGTGGCGCTGGGAAATTCCGTTCATGATGCTTCATATCTCCATAGGATACTTGCGCCTTTGATCAGGAAAGGAAGGTGCTCTTGTCTTGGCTTTTCTTGTGGCTCTCTCATCAGTGTTGAATATACGGCCTTCAGGAATCGTCGTTTGAATCGTCTCCAATCATCGTTCGTCGGCTTGCGGTTCAGCTCCAGGTCGTCATCTTCTATGCCAGGCTCGTCCTCTTCCACCTCTTCTTCAAAATGAAGAGGATAATATTGTATCTCGTTCCGACGAAAATGCCAAGTAGTCCTTGACTCGTCATCTTCTTGGGACTTCACGAAGCTGCTGGATAGAAGCTGCAGCTCGAGTTGCGACTCCGTTCTGTGGGGTTTTGAGACGACACACTTGAATTCCTCGTGGACAACAAACAGAACTTTCCCCAATTTGGAGAACCTTGCGAGCTTTTTTACAAGCGTCTTCATATTGTTTTTCGATACTTTGCCACTGAGTATGGGGTGGTAGATACCAGTGCTGAATCCATATGATGTCCCAAATGCCACTTGGCGCAGGTCTCTTTTCATGAAGTCCACCTCTGCGAGAGAATGCAGAGTCCTCAATAGCCTTTTGATCAAGAGGTAAGGCTGAAGCAGAATTATATCTCGGCTTGGATCGATGTACTTGATTGTGTCGGAGAGTGTTAGTGGCCGGTAGCGACGAAGCACGAAGGCACGGGACTCTCTGCATACGGCTGCCAGTACAGGGGGCGCCTCGTGCGAGCCGCTGGAGAACATGAGCCCTGTAGAGGCCGGGGTCTTGAGCGTTGAAAATGGCGTGTCAAGAATCTCGTATACTCGAGGCTCTGGTAGGGCGTATACCCAGACCATGGACCGAATCTCGGCCGGTAAGTTGTTGAAAGCAACAAAGCCCATCGCGGATTATATTCTCCACTATGGGACAGATGGTTTCCTCACTTTGAACCCCGCGGGCTTCAAAATTGAGTTGCTTGTATATGGGCTCCAGGCGTGCGAGTGATGAGCGTTCTCATAATGCTAGAGTAGAGTTGATGCTGATGCTGCAATTTATCACCCCATGATCTACAGCGGCGCTTTTCCACAAGCTTCATGTGGCTCGAATCTTCCGGCCCGGTTGATATGTGACATAACATAAACCACAGTGGCAGATCACAAAGCTTAAAGTGTCGCTTTTTACACGAATCGCGGGGTTCCTTCCCGTGTCCGCGCGCGAATCAGTTGATCCTGACGGATGATACAGGAAGAAGTCATGACGACGAATCATGGTGTTTATTCCCACAGATTTCCGGTCGTCGGTATGATGCCCATCGAAGCCTCATCATGACATGATGTGAACTTGAGGGCCTGTCATCTTCATCGTGGGCACAGTGGTCAATATCATCAACCCTGACAAAAAAGAGCTCAGCCCTGTTTAGCGAGAACGTACGCGTATCATTCAAAGAATTTATACCCATACCATCCGAACCATACGGGATCAAGAGGATGTATCATGATTATACATTAATATGTTCCATCATGATCACCTTGAGCACTTCAACCTTTGCGTCCAGTTACCCTACAGCTTGTCCGCCCAGATCGGAACAACTTCTAACCGAGTAGAACACGCACGGACCATATGTAGATTCGGCGGTTTAAAATCTCGAACGCGTCGTCCAAGCAGAGCTTTTCCTTTTTTCTTTTCTTCTTCGTGCGGCTGGCATAACATGAAATTTTTATACCCGTGTTGCTCGAATCCTTCTTTCCGTGGATGTAATCGCAGCGTCAGTTATGCCCCAGATCAATCATAATTGCAGGCCCGCCCTACCATCGTCTGGTTTTGGTGTTTTCACACATCTTAGTCGTGGTTGGGAGGCAGGACATTTCAAAATTCCTATTCCGTGATATATGTGTAACACTTGCGTTAATATCCCGTTCGATCATGAAAGTTGGAGAGAACAGAATCAACAATTGCTGAACTGTACAACGGGGGAGTTAAAGCTGTGTCTATCTGACTGGGCGGTCTTATTTGTTCGCCTGTTGCTCCAAAACTCCTATCACCTGTTCCCTGTCGAGGTCATGTTTTAATGCATGCTAAATAGGCACAAGAAAACTTCGCCGATATTTCATTGCGAACCACAGGACTCCTGGTAGAGAAACCTTACTCGTCCTCTCCTACCTTCTGGAGCTTGCCCATCTCTCGCTTGGCTCCAGCTTCTCCTACGAGTCTCACTCTGTCGAGACGAACAGTCTCCCCATCACCCTCACCCTGCTGAACGTAGATCACCAGACTCGATGTCTTCTGGAATTTCACATATCGCAAGCTCAGGCTCACTGTTCCCTCCTCGTTCCAATCCTCAGGGGAAATCTCGATAGCCTGTGTTGGTTCGGTATCGTCGGCTTCGTTGAAGTCGAGGTTATGAGTGCGGTTGATATACAGGTGAATGTTGCCGGGCCTCATCACGTCTTCGTCGTCTTTGGGAGGGAGGGAAGTGAGCTGTTACACGCGATTAGTCAGCGTCGGACTCGGTGCAACTTGAAGGACCAATAAACTGACCTGGAGAGTGTGGAGTTTGACGATGGACTGGAAAGGGATGTACAAAAGCAGCTGGTCATCTGCACCGCTCTGCACGTAGTCCTTTGAGGTTCCTTTGCCGTTACCGAGGCCGCTTGGCTTGGAACCATCGAAGAGAACCCTAACAGTCCCGGCGCTCTCATCAGCGTTGAGAACCTCCAGATCACGGAGTTCTATTTGGTCGGTGATGTCGTTGTAGCCTCGTGGAGCTTCCATACCCTTCCAGCTGGGACCACCACTAGCCGAGCCAGCATTTTCTCTGGCGGTCTTCTCATTGAGCGAAGAGGCCAAGGCAGGTATCTTCATGAGCGTATCCCTAAGTTTCTGAGGATCGGCACCCTGGACCTGGTCGACCTGCTTCCCATCTGCAAAAACGATGAAGGTTGGCGGGTTTGTGATTTTGTACTCTTGTGAGAGCTCTTGTTGGTTGTCGCTGTTAACCTTGACCAGCGTGATGAGATTCGGCTGCGCGACGTCTTGGGCGAATCTTTCGTAGATAGGAGCGATCTGGTTGGAAGTGTCAGACCAATCAGCGTAGACTTGAAAGAATCATTCGTTAGCTTTTAACATCATCATTTGTGAGAAGGGAATGATACGTCGCATCGCAGGATAAGTTGACTGGGATGGCGGGGTATCTCTAGAACTACCGCAAAGATCGTGAATTCTGATGGGGGATTACTTACAGTCAGCAATGACTATACGTGACGACTTGAGGATCGAGTCGAAGTGACGCTTCGAGTCTATAGTGACGACCGAGTTCTGCGACATGATGGATGCCTTGTGATGGTTAAGGTTGACGAGGTATGACGGTGTGGTAGAGATAATCAGCCAGGAACCGAATCGCTGAGCGCCAGGGCTCCAATAGAAAGCGGGTTGGAGGGGTCATTACTATACCGGGGCTGGCGTCATTCAACCAATGGCGGGACAGGTAGCGGCGCCCAAGGCAACCTACTGACCGATGCGTACAGATCTTGCCTTTTTAACATTACCCTGCACCCTGCTCGAAAATAAGAAAGCATTTGGCATTAACCGAGGTACCGAAAAGGGCCAGCCTACGGTCCGCTGAATTTATACTCAGTTTAGAGTAGGTGCCTTAGATTTATATTTTCATCACTTAGGATATCTCGGGTTTTCTTGCCTCTGAAGGCCAAAGTGTTCTACACTACGTGCTAGCCTGCCAACCTTACCCCCTTCCCAAAAGTTCAAAGCCCAATGTATGAATGGAGGTAGGTAGTAAGCCCCTCTAAGCATATCCCCAATCTACCAAATTAACCAGCGTAACAAAAGCAAAGCAGTCAAATATTAAATCTGTAAGATTTGAGGGTGGCCACCGAAAAGAAAGGTATCAAGTTTGAGGTGACTGGGCGAAGCCATAACTGGGCGATTTGTGATATGTATCTCATCTAGGGACCTCATATGAATGGTAGCAACAACAGCAAAATAACAAGCCAGCTAAGCATAACCATACCTGGTATAAAGGTAAAGACACACGTGAAAACAATAGGACACTGAGTTTGAAACCAGGGATTCCATCTACCAGTGGTGTGTCTACGATAACGCGTAATGCAAAAATCGATCAATCTACTTGACCACGAAGTGACACTGACGACTTCTTCGACGCCTCTGTGACCCAACAAGAAGGGATATGATGCTGTAACACATTTCACTGGAGATGGCAGTGACCATTCCCTTTCAATTCTGGTATTAAAGAAGCCCGTGTATAATCTAACAAGAGAGTTGCAACTGTTTACCGGCGACGATGTGTCTGTAGACCATCAAGCAGGAGGACACCAAGCTTAGAATCGCTGGCTATACGTGGAGATAAAAGCGGCTACAGACTTAAGCTACACATTCTATATAGCTCATGGTATCATTTAAAGAACTTGCTGTCTATCGAGTTAGTATGTAGCAGATATCGTCGTCGACATTGATTTCATCTACTGGTGCTAAATCCAAACCCTGCGTCGTGTCTTTTCAAAGGATAACCGCATTCAATCTACTATAATAAGAAAGTTCGAGCAGCAGCCCCCCTTCCCCTGGAACTCCTTGATTGTATCAAAGACAGCCAACGATAGTTGGTTGTTCACGTAGAGGGGAGAGCAGGAGGAGATGACAAACCCCAGATGCCATCTGTTAAATTAACCAATAATAAGAGATCACTTAGGGGAATCATAAGGCCAATCCATCTTGACGATAAAATTCATGAACAGCATCATACAGGCGTCGTATCTGACAGAATGTTGGGCTTCCTTCTATCAATCGCTCATTTCCAATGAAGCCAGCGAGGACGCTAATATCTCAGAAAATACCAACCCCCCGAATTGATATTTTTAGTCATTTCAGGTTGAATAAACTAAGGTATAAATATTCAGATACTCTCGACAATAGCTTATATTCTCATGAACGCCTTGTGAGTGACCTGTATAATTCCCCAGGAGACTATCCTCCTCTTTCTCTCATTATATATACATGATGTACATGTAGTTATACTGCTCAGTTACCTACATTGAGTCTCTGAAATGGCTAGTGAGCTACTAGATTACGAGAACTCTAGGTATAATACGGAGGATAAATATAAATCATTAATTTCTGACAGTTCAGTGATCCAGAGGCCTTCCGGATGGTTTCCCATACGTTCATTATAAAGACAAACTGTTTCCAGCTCTTCCTTTTCTTTTCTCCCCCCATTTCATCTTCTATACTGTTCAGAATTATCAGTGGAAGACGAAATCCACTGGATTATATCAGGTATTATCTGACCTTCTTACCACGTACGCTCTCTGTTTCGTTGTCTACACATCTCGTATGACGACGGAATCCCAATTTCCTCGGATCCAAACCATCAGATTTTATCTTCCACTAGCCACACCCATCTCTCTTCTTTTGCAACAGGGAATATTTTGGGCATGGCTGAGCAGCAAGAAGAGGATTGGGCATTCAGCTGCTCTAGGCTGGTCTATGACACAGGCAAGCCTGGGCGAGCAAAGCCACTCATCATCAAAGTCCGACGTGGGATCAGCAAATCAAGAGAATCCGTCGGTTCCTTAGTACGCTGGATACTGAGGTATCTCCGGATGGCTTGGGCGAGAGGTGAACTTTGATATGAGAACCACCAACATGTAAGAGTCGTCCATCGCTGGCATGAGTGCTATTTTATGATCACAATGGTAGAAACGATCTCACCCTCATGGTCGGTGAATGTTTCGAAAAGGACGGTAACAAGATTCTTGATGAACACTGCTTGAATAACACTCAGCGTTCGGCCGGTGTTTAAACTTTTGATAGAGATATCCACGCACACATCGGTACCAGAGAATCTGTAAAACTTATGAGATTAGTAAAAGACGAAAGCAAGAGGGTTAGATACTTCACCCTCACAAACAAGGAGAATGGCCGTTGCGAGCTGAAACCGCTTTCTTCTACAAGTTGCCATCTCAAGAAGTGTATGTTTTGCCCTGAATTCGTGGTCGGCGTACGACTATCTATCCGAGATATTCGACGAGCTCATGTCCGCGATAAGATTACCGACCTACTGAATGAAATTGTCGAAGATTTAGAGAAATTAGATTCTCTGGTATCTTCAGGGCTGTCTGAGACCGACCTTTCAGCCGCTCACCCAATATCAGCACCAGAAAATGGAACAACTGCAGCTTCATATGGCGAGATTAAGCTTCTCCAGAACATTGATGGGCTCTTGAGGGCTGACGAAGCTGAAATGAACCCATCGAACTTGAAAAGTCGAGTCGAACCAGTGGTGGAAGAAAGCATCAGGAAGATTCGACATCTTGGAGGAAACGGTACGACTATGGCGGCTGCACCGACTTCGTCCATGAATTAAGGGTAATCGCCATTTGCGGCTGTCCATTGATTGTCCCTCGTTGACCAAAAGTAGATCTCGAGGCATGAGATGATGACCTTGTTGACGGAACATGTGGGCACACCGAAAGCAATAACGCAACTTGAGACTGCCATCTACCACGGGGCCCTATCCATGGTAATTTCTCCAGCCCTGAATGCTTATTCAACCACAGTCAAAGCTTTCCTCTGTACACTCGTCGTGTTGTTGTGTGACAAAGCGTCAACCTCGACCTTCACTGATGATCCCATCTTACTTGCAGATGCTATCCTACACTGTGTCAAATTGGAGAAGAAATCCCGAGCAGCCCGTTCCTGAGAACACCCAGTCAATATTTCTGCTCAAGGTGTGTATATATCCGTGGATAATAAGACAGGGTTGACTGTTTACAAGCATTAGAATGACCAGCTTCTCTAATCGCTAGTGACGAGCGGTTATTGCACTGTTGCATTCCCTGATGCCATGGATAGTATGTCAGCCTCTCGATTATTGTAACATAGTATCTAGATTATTTATCTTAGGCTTCTACTTAGTAAGGCCAAAATGCAATATGCAATATGCAATATGTCATATCTTGATTTTATTTTTTGTGGCTTGGTTTGCAGATGCAACGGCCAAATAATACTAACAATTTCCTATAGACAGTATATTATATTGATAATGTAATTTAACATAAAAAAAGATAATTGTAGCTCATACTTGATTTATACAAAGTTAAGTTGTCTGTCTTGTTAGTTACCAAGGACTTGATATTCAGTGGCTTGTAAGTCATATTTGCTTCAAATGATGGTGTCAAGATTTGCATGTCTTAGATCTATAAAACTTGCCATGGGCTTGCTTCAATACCCTATGTCAAAGGGTGAGGAATTATGTGTGCGATTTCCTGGAACTTTGGTCAACCTGAACAGAAACTGGGTGATACTCTTTATATCCAAACATGCACAGTGCTCCTGACACCATAGACACGAGCCTCTTTTTGGAAAAAAGGTTATCTCATGACTCTCATAATGATTCCTATTGCGTTTCTGAATCAGTAGAATGCTTAGTCCGATTCAATAACCGGCGAGACAAGACAGTACAGTACACATTGAATTGATGGGACCAATGTTGAAGTTCCTACCCAACCAGTGGAAGAACCAGAAAAGGTATCAGCGTGCAAGAGCAGCAAAGCAAGGAACAAAAGTAAATGCAGTTCTTGCGGAGTCAAGCCAGCGGAGAATCCGACGTCAAACTTGACAGTCAACAACAAACCTCGCAATGTCTCAACCTGTGGCGCTTCGGGTTCCTGCGGCAGCGAGGATGCTGCGACATTAGAGTGTCTAGGCCGTAATCGTTCTTGCGACAACGATGAGAGACAACAAGGATGCATCATGTATGCATATGCGAGGCATTGCATACCCTCAAGAAACTGTTGGTCGAGAGACGATGCTCTTACAGTAGCGTATGCGCATGTTTTTCTGTGCTTTTGTTAAGTTTTTCGTGCCGTTGCCACTCCCGTCTCGCGTGGCCGGACCAGATCCGCGTGGTGAACGGCAGAACGGATTTATCATTGGGGCTCGCGGAGTGGAGATTATCGGGGCTTGACGTGAGGGAGAAAGATGGAGCTCATCACTATTTATTCCTGCCCTCCACCTTACTGGAAGCATGCATGAGGCAAGGGAGGAAGATGAAGGATTTTCTTCCACACACATACAGGAGGATAAGAGGGATTTGCTGAGACTCGGATGAGCCGCGTATCGGAGCAAAACTGGAAGAGTCTGGATTTACTCTTGCTCTACCAAGGACTCTCGCATGGTTTTGAGCCAACATCCTAAATCTGCATCTCGCCCCTACAATCTAGGACTGTAAGATTACCTGTCTGATATAACGCCGTATAGGTACATGTGTAGATGTAGCTACCGGAAGTGGGTTACATCGCTGTGCCGATTAGATTCTGGGCTCCCGTCAATCTGGCATTTCCTTTCTGTCGGGCCTGTTACTGCTCTGCGAAAAGAACAGCCATTACAAGATCCAGCCTATAGCTCTGATTTTGACAGGCATGCCCTGACCAGTCAATTGGAAAGCCAGCAATAATCCAAGGAATACTTTGGGAACTGGCAAAGTGACGCCAGACAAGCGAATGTTACACCAAGATGGTTTGCAGTTAAGTGACACTCCCGCAGTTGAGCTGGGTTACTGATGAAGTGGTTCCATCAAGGCAACCACAGACCCGATACATGACGATATGAAGTGAGATATTCAGCCAAGTCAAGTTTCACTACCCAACGAGTTCTCATCTATGCAACTGTGGAATGTCTTGGACATTCAGATTGCTGCTCCAGCTGTTCTAGTATGAAGACCAAAAGCACCAATATCGTGAATAGTCAGTCATTGGGCATGTTTTGTGCATGCTGTCGATACTCTGTTTTGGTCTGGTCAATTGCATAAAGAATATAGGAAAAAGCATCACCTGAGCAGGCCTCTCCCCATTAGACAACACATTGAAAGGATTTCGGCCCAGTACGTCCATAATCTTGTTTGCCCATCGTACGTCTGGACCTGTCGCTTCCAAGTCTTACAGCAGACAGTGGCAAGCCTTCAAGGGGTCTGACAAGTCGAACACAGCTGACGAATAGAATGAGTAGGACAGAAATCCAGTACCATCAAGGGAACAGCAAAACATATGAAAACCAACTATCATGAAATTTAAGTTCAACCAGACACATTATCTGAAGTAAGGGCTAGCACAAGGGATTATGAAGGGAGCGTGAATAAGTCGGATGCTGTCCAGGCTGTGCACAAAACTTCCTTTTGCCTCTCATGACCGAGCCAGCTAGCCACTCTGCCATTGACTTCTGTGAAACCTAAAAAGGTTGAGTGAGACACTATGCATCTTTCTTAAGAAGCTGGCTCGTTACTTGTCGCTTGGATTTGTGAGCGACTCAGGCTTGTATGACCAAAAAAGCAAGGGGTAGTCTTGTTGACAGGACCAGATGTCATTGGCGGGGTAAGCACGACTCGGACCCAGTCATTGAGGTCTTTTGATTGATGGAGACGAGTCCTGAAAAAGCCTAGCAGAGACACCAACCAAGGCATAGGAAGTGAGATCTGATGGGAGATCTGTCATAACAGACGTAAAAAAATTTATAAGGTGTTCTTTTACAAAAGGTCGAGGGCCTGCTAGGACATTTGGGTGATCGCTGTTCCCGTGGCCAGGAGAGCCATGGTGAGCTTCTGACACTTTCTATGACGATACATAGCCTCTAATTGGTCAGGCAGTCATGAGCCTCATATCGCACATACCTGGTTGGGGTCGACCAAGGTTAGTATCATGTGATTTTCACACACTTGACTCGGGATATCTGCCGCAATTCATTACGTCGACAGCTGCTAGCTTCTTTGTCTGATGCAGCAACTGTTGACAAGGATATAAGAAGCTAGGAACGAGCAGTTCTCACTCGAGGATAAGGTGCACGGGCTAACAACCATGACAAGCGGGGAAGTCCCATGCACCTCGCCACCACAAAGGGCCAATGAGCAAAGATGAGACAGACAAAAGAAGCAATATGAACCCCACCCTTCTAAGGTCCCTGTGAACAAAGAGACAAGGGCTCGCCATCGTTTTTGAAGTTGGACTTGACTCCATTAGAATGTACAAGTGACGGATGGTCCGCGACGATTGCTGGGAGGTAGTATTTGACTCTTTGTATGCAGAAACTGTTTGGTCTTGCTTTCATATCAACCTTGTGTTTCGAACAAACTTGAGCATTGGGTTGCAACCAGGAGCCCTTATAGAGTACCAAATGATGGGAACCTCTGCCTGTCCACCAATGGCTCGTCGAAAGCTCCTCTAATTGTTATCATGTGTGAACATACACCGCACCATAGTTAGATATTTCGCCTGCTCAGGACTATCAAGAAGAAGAAAAAGGTTTAGGAAGCGGAGCTTATGATATGCTAAAGCGTCTACCCTAGCTCTGACCCTGGCTTTCCACCAGATCCTGATGCTCGTCTGAGACACGGACCGTATGTGTGCCTGTGCGTAAGTCTTGGCCTCGGCAAACTCGTAGGACAATAGACGAAAGAATACACAACACTTACTTATGGCTACGTGTAATTGGGACTCAAATACGCCCATACATAGGCTGGAACTCATCCCAAGGCCAACAATAAGTTCTGAATCATCAATTTGAAACAGTGCTATAAGGTTCATTACGGCATCACTCGAGAATTCAGTGACAGCTCTGATTGCAGAGCGTGAGCAAAGTTTGCGCCATATTTCTTTTTAATCCACGCGTAACTGGAAAACCACGACTCCTTGCGGAGTGATGATGGGTCATGGTATATATCGGGCTATGCAAGGAATTTCCGATAGTTCCTTAATCTTGATATTTGCCCTAAGCCAATAGCCTTTTGGGAACCATTTTCAGCAACGAAAGTCCCTCGCTCGCAGCGCCCCAATTCTAACGGCATTGTTCAGGATGCAAAAGGGTCCAGCAAGGGGCCTGAGTTGGAAACTCCACCCTCGACAACAGAATTCTTGGTCTTCAATACGATAGGAAGTAACTCAATAAGGCACGTGCCTGAACTGGATTTACCCTCGACGGAAGTGATCTGCTATTGCTGATAACCTTCACATCTTGGAGCTTCCCACAGTATGCAAAGATTCAGCTTGACAGGCCACCGTCTTTTCAGCTGTTTCTGCATCAACAACAAACAAGGCAAATGCGAATAATTCCATTTGAGAGACAAAATATGCCAGTGGAGATTTGCCTATGACAACTCCGTAGAAGTAAATATTTGTCTGCGACACCGGAATGCTGGCATATTACCTAGCTAGCTGGATTTTTGTCAGAATTGCATGTGAGTACTCCGTAGCGACGACAACGCTAGGAAGGGCTCTGTACACCTCAACGGGGGAAAAAGCAAGTCATCCACCGTTGGCCCAGGGCACTGTGCTGTATCGTGGGGAAAACAAGCCGCGGTCTGGTCTCTCGGGGAAAGATCAAGAAGCCGCGCTCCTTGCAGTGACTAAAGTAATGATCCTTGTTAGTTCGCACCGGCAGTGGTATCGCTTTCCCGTAACATATCCTAACATCATCAGAGCGCGATAAACCTGGGTCTCTCAATGGATCAGCACTCTAGATGTGCGGTGATATCAATGGCAGAGCGCGTGATTCGTCGTGTATGCAAATGTACCTACCTAGATGGCGAGCAATTCAATTGCCGTGTCAAGGCGATCGAGTCGCAGAAAGGCAGGGATGAGAAAGAGCCTTGGGTCAGATATAGTAGACGGGGGTGGGAAACAACATTCTCTTCGATTATCGTCATTGTTTGCATACACTCGACCTTGAATTTCCTCTCTTCTCACGAGTAAGCAAAGCATCGCAAGGTCATTTCCGGGCTATTCGAAACTGGGTACCTAGACTGTGGCTGTCCTGCAGGCACTCGGACAAGCATGTCTCTCGCAAATGTCTCTACTGCGCGTGTGCCCGTTTCTCTTCTTTAAAGAAAAAGAAACCACAAGCAACTCTCAATGGATGCATCCAGGCGTTATTGAGGTGTTCAGAACAAGACTAGCCCAAGTTTGCAAGGATACCTACTGGGGGTGCTGAAGTTGAAGGGAGTTCGTGCCCTAGGGAGGATTTGGAGGGAGTGCAGGGAAGCGGCGTCAGCTATGGGTGTTCTCAACTGCTCCAAGTGGGGCTGACAAGGGCGCTGGTATCCCTATCCCTGCTCCCGCAGCAGCCACAAACGTTTTACCCTCCAACGTCCTACCGTTAGAGCTGGTCATTCCTTACTGAGTGTTGCTTATAGTCTCCCTGAAGCCCAGAGCTGTTTCCTTTGGCGGATGATGGTAGAAAGAAGGACCGTTCTTGTTGTTTTAAATCTCTAAAATTACAGCATACCTGACCTTATATATTCAACTCTTTTCTTACGGCTTATTTGCATCCTCGGCAGTCGTGGTAGGAGAGCTACGGGTCGTCCTTGGTGGTTCTTGCCTCGTGCAACACAAACACAGCCTCAGGTTCCTTCCCTCTCTTCACTCGCTCCGTTACACCTGTTGTGCAACCTTTCTCACATCATACCGAATTGCATTTGCTCTCACGCCTCACACAAAACCATCTTATTCATCATTTACAGCTCAACATCAACCTTCGGATCGCTTGTCACAAGAACAGGAGTACACTATTTCATTGTTGCAAAGGGCCCAGGGCTCTTCACTGTTGCAATTCGCATCACAGTGCAGAGTAACGAGGACGAAGACAGGATACTACAACATCAAGCTCGACAGAACCAACCCATTCTGTGCCTGTCGCTTCGGAACACATCAGCTAGAATACAATTGTTCTTCGATCATCAATCCACATCGAAACAACGTCTCGAAGAGCACGCAGGTCTGCGTCGGGTATTCAACTTATTGCATCTGCCCTTGTGCCATGAACTATCCTACTTCCTGCGATTCTCCCTTCGTCACTGTTTGATACAGTCACACCCGAAGCAGTCTCGAACATCTAGCGTCATTCAGCTTCAATTCCAGTCTGAACTGTTTTGCCTTGTTCTCACAAAACACCAATTTCCACCGCGAGTGACTCTGATTCACCCCAAAGGTCACTTCGGCTCACAACTCGCCTCTTAATTTCCTCCACTGATAAGTCTTGACTGCATCAGATCTGGTACGTTACAACCCAATTCCTTCGTTTCGTGCACCTCTATGCACAAGGGGCGCTCAAGATTATCTTTCACTTCGCTAACACGACTCGACCCAGGCATTCTGCGCAACGTTAACTTGCCTCTTCACTGACCAAGTTCAATATGGCTAATGGTTTCGGAAGCCTCGAGCGCTTCTTCGCCAAGAAGAAGACGCCAGCCGCCTCGACCGATTCAGTTGAGCCTGCTTCTAACCCTCCAACAATACCTCAGTTTCCTTCACCTTCTTTCATTCGCCCAAAAACAAGTCGCATGGCAGCGAGAGAGGAAGTGAGAAAGCAGCCGGGCAATCGAGTTCCATCTCTAACGGCTCCTCTTTCTCCTCATCGATTGGACTTGATGCACGCCCAGAACCCCACGCGTTTCTCAAATTCGCATAAGTTACAGTACTCCCCCCTCAAGGCTTCTTTCATGCCCACACAAGACGATTCCTTCCTAGAAGACTTTGATGTTCATCAATTTCCGCGACCCCCAACCCGCCAGAGAGAAACATCTGCGTCTTCATCTACCTGCGATCCAAAGTCATCCATGGAAGCCCCTAGTGAGCGTAGCCTTCCATTGCGACCTTCGAGAAAATCTGCAACTAGAAATTCGCGGCTTGATACTCCCCCGTCCTCAGACCTGGAAGATGAAGGTGCCCGTAGCCCTCAGTATTTCCGCGACAAAAAGCTTCCGGCATTGCCTCCCCAGAAGCCTCCAACGCCAGAATCTTCACCAGAGCTTCGCCCCATTCACATTGCTCAACTTCGAGCCTCCAAGTCTATCGACTTTCTGAATAAGGCAGTTTGCAGGGACATTCGCCGCCATTTTACCAAAACTCCGGATCAGAGGCCACTTCGGAAAGCTATCAGTCAGACTAGCCTGGAAGACGCCACAAATAGGCTCTCCATCACTAGCTCTACACTCCGAGAACCAGACTTCAACGAGTTTTTCAACCTCAGTGATGATGATATTGCTGAATCGGCCCCCGCAGATGCGGATGCGGTAGAGACCTCAACATACGCCACTGCCCCTTCTACCCCCGATTCTCCTCGTTCTTCCCTCCTGACACTCACCCCACCTTATGCAAGCAAACCTGCAACTGCTGCAGCATTCGAGGCGGCTAGGATTGCTAAACGCTACAACTTCGATCTCGTTTACGTGGTCAACTTATGGACTGACTATGAGCGAATCAATTCTGAAAGTCCCATCAGCATGAACTCACCAAACAAGAAATTTGGACCCCTGTCTGGCCGTCTCCTCGCCGCTTATGGACTGGAAAACGTCAACCTGCCTTTCCAAATATCAACAACAGCTCATAGCAAGATTTTGAAGACTCCAGGTTGGATCGAGTATCGAGCAAAGGAGGTCCGTAATGATGAATTTGCGCGAGGCTATGCCTGTGCTTTCTACACTGGCGAGTGTTCAAGAGTGGGCTCTGTCATTTCGAGAAACTCTTCTTCTTCGGCATGCTCGGTCCAATCTATGAACACTGACCGTGGAATCATTTTCGCGGCGTATCGAAAACCGCGAGCTGACGGTAGCTTACTTGGAATTTCTTCTGGCCCTGCCGATCTTGTCAACGTTCACAAGGATGCGGAGGCACTTGTCGAAATGCTCGTGGACATCCATGTAACGAATAGACTCCGAGAGCCTCAATTGCGTTGCTACCAATCAGAAGAGACAGGCCCAATGCCATCCCAGCGAAATGGGCGTCTGTGAGACCATCATCAGGCCTCATCCTTGCAAACCACATCACAACGAGATATGTTTTCACGACTTCATTTCATTTGTCTTTCATGCGAGCAGGCCATGCTTCGCTACGATGTTATTGCGAATTTTGCGTTTACTTGTTTGACTCAAGATACCACAACGGGCGGTTACTTGTCGATTTTCGTTACACGTTACGGTCATAGAATGGGCGTCACGATTGATATTGCCAGGTCGTTTTTGTACACCGGCACAAATTTTGAGGAATGTGGTTATGGAATCAACGAAGGAAATGTTACGCCGCCTCACATAAGGTTCGGTAATAGTTTGTCATCTGTAAGCCATTGGTAGATAATGTGTGGATGAACTATACTTGATGCTTGATGCGTTATGGTTAGGGAAACAATGAGATGTTTAGTCAACTCAAACCCACTATGACAATATAAATGAACAAAACTTCTTAATAACTCTCTCCATACCATTCGAGTCCTTATTGATACCAGCGTTGAAGGTTCTCTTAGGAATGTGATGGCCATTCGGAATCCCTCAATGCCCCTTAGACTGCTACCCCTAATCCCTGTTCGTGTTTGAAACTTACGGGCGAGAGTCCCAGGACAGATGATAGTGAAGAACCATGGGTTAACTTTGGAACTTTGGAAGCTCCAAATAAGTTAATGAGGCTACAGAGTATATAGCATATAGACAAAAAGAACAACCGAAAGAGCCTGACATTAAAGTTGCTCAAGAGATCACGAAATCTTCAGCGATCATTTTAAACCTATCATCTCTTCATAGTCAGAGGAGAGCATTCTATTCGACCTCAGTGACTGACAGTGGCTCTTGCGTATGTATGTATATATTCGATTGTTAGGCTAATACTTTGCCTTCACAGAGGGCTTGAGCAACTCATAAAGGGGCGAAGAGATATCGAATGCTGATTGGCGATAGCAAGAGTTCAATAATAGATCAGCTCGAAACTTGCTGGATAAGTACTTGCAACATACCTAGTAGGCACCGACTATTACTTTATGAGGGAACTCTATGAGTACTCTGGCAATCATAAACCTCGAAGGTCTCAGATGCGAAATGTTGGAGGGACGAGCCCCCGGCTAGTAAACTTACAGGGCTATCTTCGCCATTATTTATTCTACGAATTCGAAATATCAGATTTATAATGACTTACATATTGAGTATGGCTTGATACGTTTATGCTAACTTTCAAGATCGGTCATGCCATTGCCGTCTCGGCCCACAGAGCCAAGTGACTTATGTATAGACAAATCTTGGATAGACTCGAGTCGAATGAGAAAGCTTATCATTTCACGGGCAATTGCAGCAATATACTGGGTCACTCTATGGAGATTTCCCATCATTCCTTCATATGTCTCTTTCTTTTCTCTCCGTTACAAGAAGAGTGTTGAGTGATAGAACATCTACAAACTCGGACTGTTTTCCCTGTCTGTGCTTGGTCGCGACAAGGCGTAAGCCGGCTTCCTCGGGAGATATCAGTGCTGGTATTACTTTTCCGGGAAGAAATAGACGACATAACAGACCGATAAAGCTCAAACAATCACCGAATGATACCTCTGCATGTCTCCTGTTGTTTAAATCATTGCGGCGCGTTTCTACTATAGGTCTCATATTCTCCCTCCAAACTCGATCAAACTAGGCCGGGAACATATCAGCCACAATTTTCACGTATCGATGAATGTTTGTCCCTTAGAGATTAGCCAGGGAGCGTTCTGGGGTCCGGGCCCCCCTTCATTAGAATTGGATGTCAACTTTGCCGCTCTCGCTAAGTACTATGGTGAAAATCGATACTAATCGTACAGTGGTCATCTAGACAGCCAGAATACCCAAAACATTTGCACTAGGAAGTGAAAACGCAACGATTAGGGAACTACTAAGCTTGCCTTATGATATGAAGTTGCAGGTTCTCTGAGGCCTCTTTGTTATTTCTGGTCCTCAACCTCGACAGCTTTTGTAGAGTAACTGACGAGTGTTGCTTTCGTTGTGGTGAGCCAGAGTACCAGCCGCGTTGATCAGAGGTTGAACGAAAGCCCCAGGCAGGATTGGGTTATCCATCTGTGGAACCATAATTAGAAATAGATTATAACGTATTGATTACGGCATTTGAAGTCTAACATGCATGGTTGCCCCTGTTGCTTTCCACCCCCTCCTCTGAGACGTTGAAATCGGGAAGTGGTCTATCTTCAGGCTCAGCTTTGACCTGATAACTTGTCTATGAACTCGGAGGTCTCCTCTCTCAAAGCAGTTTGTTCTCAATTCTGATATATTCGTTAAAGTCAAGGATCTTTTATCTCATGTTTGTCTTTCTCCGCGGTTCTGTGGGGATCATGTCATGGAGAGCTCGCATGATTTCCTCGAACCTGAACATCGGCGAGTTAATATATTGCTTCTCCCATGGCCTCCCATGGCCTCCTTAAGCCCTTCCGATTGTTTTGAGTATCTTGAATCTGCTGAAAAAAAGGGCTACTGAGTTCGTTATAACTTCACTGGTGACCTGGCCTAGAGAGTTTGACCACTTTGTTTGCACAATGGATTACAGTCAACATTTCTTAGTAAGGTGTGGATAGGCCTAGGATTTTGAACTTAATAGAGGTCAAATCTCACGGGATCTCTCACAGTTGCATTACTACAAACCATTCGTTTTGCTTGTACTCCATGTGACGAACTCTAGACCACGGGGCCAGAGGCTGGTCAGAATGAGCAAATGACTATCAAGACACCATTCTTTATTTGCATATGGAATGTAAAGTGTCACACGATCACCGTGCGAGGTACAAGTCTGTAACCTGGTGAGTTTGTATTGAACGTTGATTTGACGGTAGCGACGTTAGTCGAACGGGATCCTTCGCAATCCCTGATCACCACCTCTCTTTTTCATCTCTTGGGCAGCAGCGATACTGCTCGGAACCTTGATACCACAGCAATCACCCCAACCTGTGCCATCGTGAGCCTTTCCTGTGTGGTCATGGCCCTCGTGTGGATCATGTTCGGCATTCTCGTCTTCCCCAGTGCCTGTGTCTTCGCTCATGCCATCTGCTGCTGGCACGAGAGAACCGAAGAGGAAATGCTGCATGACAGGTAGCTTGCCCAAGACTTCAGCGACGAACATGCGACGCATGCCACCATCGATCTTTGTCCACGATCTCGCTGATGAGATATCGTCTAGCATGGGACTGTGCCATCTCAGACCCTTGACGGTCTTTGTACTGTTGACAAAGCTGACCTGACCAAGATACATATAGTCGTGACCGAACTCCTCAAGGGTAAGGTCTTGATGAATAGCTCTTGGGGTTATGTATGGGTGGTGTAAAAGCTGTGTGGCACCGAAAAGAAAAGGGAGAAACTGGTAATCATCAAGTCCCCAAACTCCATGTGATCCCGCAGGCTCAAGGTAATAAGTCATCTGGATGACACGCATCACCTCAAGGTAGCGCACGAATACACGGAGGACGAGGGGTTTGAAGTCGGATTGCTCTAACAAGCCCAGCTGGTAAAGGCAAAGGAGCCAAATCATGAAGTTCAACTCATGACCAGATCCATAGTCGATTCGATTTCCGTTACCGAAGGACTGACAGAAGTATGTGGAAAGCTCGGCGATAGCTCCCTCGTCTTGGACGCCGATATCTCGATGCCAAGCTGCACTGTTGCTTTGCGCGAGCTCGAGAAGGCCGCGAAACGCCTTGTTACCAAATCTTGATCCACCTTGTTCATTCGGAGGTGACTTGGCTACCAGCTGTTCCGTCTCATCGAGGATATGTAGTATGACCTTGAGAGGGCTGCTCAGGTCGGTGTCTCGAACTGCAGAGTTGGGAGTGTCGACCACAGACTCTGCTAGCCCAAATACCCAGGCCGTAATGAGGTTACATGTTGGTGAGGACAAGAAGATATCATGGTCCTTTTTTGATAAAATTCTTCGCGACGGTGTTTTGAAAGTCCAGTTGGACGTATTGGGTGGCGTTGGTAAGGCGGGTGTTTCGGGAATGGGAGTGGGATTGGAGGTAGCTGAGCGTCGCTTTCGAGGTTCGAGCTTCGGAAGTCGATCTTTAAGATTTGGTATAGATGATGCTTCGCCTTGTAATGGCGCGGATTGGATAGAAGCTTGCGAGTCCATATTGAGAGAGTTGGTCTATTGTTGGTATAAGCAGGTGTAGATGTAGAATGGAGGTTCATTGATTGTGTTGTGAAGGCGGCATGTCATGAGTTGTGGACCCATGATTGGCAGCCACCTCTGCAGGTAGCTTCTAAACTGCCCCACTATCAAGAAATCTATAACTTCGATATTGAGCCAACAAACTCATGGAAACCTGGGGAACTCACTCTTGTGCTAAATGCTGTTAATTCGTTTTCCCTCCTCTGTGTTAACCTGTCTTAACCACATTTTCAGATTCCAACCCTTCGTCGCCTGCCACTTCACTGCCCTTGTCCCGTGCGCTACGCTGAGTTAAACTTCAAACCCCCAAGAAAATTTCCAGCCTTACACGACTAAATCATCTCAACACCAACAACAATGGCTCCTTTAGCTGAACCTGCAGCAGAGCTGTCACACCTCGCCAAGGCTGACGGCTCTGCGACGTTCTCATACGGGGGATATGCCGTGATAGCCGCTGTCAATGGCCCCGTAGAAGCCCAAAGACGAGATGAGAATGCCTTCGAGGCTCTAGTGGACGTCATTGTTCGTCCTGCCGCTGGCGTTGGAGGTGAGATCCCCCACATCCCTTGTTACAGAATAGCAATTCCTCATGCATGTTGCAACAGGTACCCGTGAGAGACAGCTTGAGTCAATTATGCAGGCAGCGATTAGGCAACTTATCCCTGTGAGAGACTATCCTCGGTGTGTGATCCAGATCACTCTTCAGGTTGCGGAGACACCTGAGAATGCCTACGTCAACGCAAAACTGGTCCAGGCACAGTTGGTAAGCTTCAATTTCAAACTTTGGTGGTACCGATAAACTAATGCTCGTTGCAGAATCTTCCTATCATTC